TGCTGATTTGACCTGTTTCCAGCATCTTTTCCTGTAGAACAACTCCTTTGTGCCATTTTTCCCATGTCTGACCCATTCTCCAGAACCTTCTTCAAGAAACGACCAATTTCCAGCATTTTCCCCTAGAATCAATCCGTATCCAGCTGCTTCCTCCCAGGTACAAACAAATTCCTGCATTTTCCTGTGAAATGACCATTTTCCAGCATTTTTTCCTGCAGACCCAACCCATTTGCAGCATTTTCCCCAAAGAACAAACAATTTTCAGACTTTTTTTTTGGCAGAATGACCTGTTTCCAGCATTTTTTCCTGTCAATTTGCCCTGTTCCCAGAATTTTCTCCAATAAATGACCACTTGCCTTTGTTTCCCCCCCAAGACCGAGCCATTTAATTCCACTATTCCATGGAACAACCTCTTTCCAGCATTTTTCCTCTGGTTTTGACCCATTTCCAGCATTTTTCCATGGAATGACCAATTTCCCGCAGTTTTGCCCTGTTTTTCCATCTGCTTCCCTCCACAATTATCCCATTTCTGGCACTTTTCTGTTGAACTGTTTCCGATGTGTTTTCTCCCATGATTGCTCTATTTCTGGCCTTTTCTGGCTGTCCTCGCCCTGTGGTTCTGGTGGGTTTTTTGGGCTGAAAAATCCTGATTAAAGGCATGGGCCCTATCAGTGAGGTGTGGAGCTGGGTGTGGGTGGGGCAAGGGGTGGGGAAAGGGGCGGGGCCTCCCCACACTCCCCTAATGCAGTGGCACAGGAGAGGGCGGTGTCTCTACCTAGCCAAGCCATGCCTATCTTCCTGAAAAACCCATTAACATCCTGTCAGCTCTTGATTGACAGTGAATGATAGCCAATGGTGCTGAGCATACAGCTTCCCACCCTAAAGAACCAGAGAGGTGTATGGTGCTAAGTGAGAGATGGGCGGTGCCAGAAGGTGGGAGCGAGAAGTCCTATTGTGCAGTGGGGTGAAGGGCAGAGGCATCAGCCAATGGCCAGTGGTGGCCAACTAGGGGATACTGAGGGGAAAAACCCGCCCTCCAGGGAACAGAGAAGGCGACAATTGGCTGTGAAGTAGGAAGGGCAGGATGGCTCAACCAATGGGGCAGCGAGAAAGACTGTGGAGGATCATGAGGAGATGTTGGCTTTGGGGGGCCTCAGGCACACACCAACACCCTCCAACATCATCAGTGTTCCCAGGGCTTGGACTGGGCTGTGTCCCTGACAGAGAGCTTCCAGTACCCCCAGTGTTGGGATTGGGTTGTATCATTGCCCCAGCACTCCCACTATTTCTTCTGGGAGCATTACCTGGATGTTTAGATATTGAAGGAGGATGGGGGCAGAGAGAGAGAGAAAAGTTAAGGCGATGCTTGGCCCCTTTGGGGAATGGGCCAGCCCACAGCCCCAATGAGAGTGGGGCTGTGCAAGGGCTGCTGAGGGAGGTTTAATGCCAGGAACGCGTTTTGGGACTGACAGCTTTGGCCTCGGAGAAGGGTGTCGAAATTTCACTACAGAAGCTGGACAGAGTTCAGGTGCAAAAGAGACAGAGAGTCCCAAGAGATCCGACCAGCCCTGCTCCCAGGTCAAAGGTGCCAGCCCAA